TCACTCCAAAGGGTGAAACTGTGCCTTGTTCAAGAGGAGGGTGAGGGTGTAGTGGAAGAAGGGGATACAGGTCACATTTGGCTAGAGGGCTTGGGGACAGCAGTTGGAAACTCGAAGTGTCTCAGGCCGGCTACTGGTGGGATCCCTGTGTCTGTGCACAATGCATCAATGAACTTGAAACCAGACTCTGTCATGGCCCAGAAGACAGCTCTTGAAAGACCCAAGGTTTGCACCAATGACTGGGTAAGACCCATGACATTCAGCCACAGATATTACCTGGACTTAATTTCCCTAGTGTTATTTGAGGAATTTATGAACAGGCTGGGGCGTGAAGGTGCATTTATGTTTCACTAGTAAACATCCAATCCTAGTCAGCTGGAAAGGCAGAAAAGGACTGGACTGTGTTCATCTTTATGTATGTGGTGGTGACATACACATGGGTGTGGGTAAAGGCATTGCTCTGTCTATGTCAATCTGCTTTGCCATTCACATTGTGTGTTTGTGTATCTGGTTCTTTGGAACACAGCGTGAGTCTCCTGAACACACACATGGGAACAGCAGCAGCCACATCCATCAGGCTGGGACAGAACAGGCCTCCTGTGTGTGAGAGTCCACCTGATTCAGCTCTAGCTGACCTGAAAGGAGAAATCCCCCCTGTTCAGAAGTGTACTGGATCTGGCTGCTCCACAGCAGAATGGGGAAGGAAACCCAAAGAAACTCTGCAGCAGAGATCACAGGGGTGGGCAGAGAGGCAGCACTGACTGGGCTGTGAAAGCAATGAGGAGGGCTGGCATTGGACTTGCACTATGTGATCACTGGACTGCCTTATAACAGAAGTGCAGGAAGGATGCGAGCTCAAAGCTTTATAAAAAAAAATTCTTTAATGTTTGTTTTCCTCAGGAGGTACCATTAAAGCACCTGGGCAGGGCCCTTCCCTTCAGGTCCAAGAGTGGCTTAACTCCCCTGGCACGCTTTGCCTTGAAGCAGCATGCAGTAACTGGCATCCATGTGGATACTCTTGCCCCTTCCTTCACCGTGATGTGCAGTGGCTAGGGCCGAGTCGAGGAAGGTCATGCAGAGACAGCCCCTCATGAGAAGGTGAGTGGCCCAGGTGCCCATCACCAGAGCTCTCAGGGCGTGAGAAAAATCACTTTCCGCTGTGAAGGCCAGCTCTACCTAGCCCCAGAAATCTAAAGCAAAGGGAAAGACAGACTCAGGGTCCAGGTCTTAGGTGGATGGGGGCTTCTCTTCAGGGCAGCTCTCCTCTTTATCCGACAAATTCTCGCTCTTCTTCTGCAGGTCAAAGCTCTGGAAAGGAGCAGGACAAGGAACGGCTGAAAAGCATGAGAGCAACAGCTACACTCTGCTGTGGTTCTTTCAAACCCATTCTAGGGCAGCAGGGGCTCTTAAGAGAGTCACCACCTCACCCCTTCCAACCTAGACACCAGCAGCACACAAACATTGTGGTGTCACCAGCACAAGGCAAATCTTTCCATGCCTGCTAAATTTCACCCTTTGCCACAGGCTCTGCTTTGCCTGAGGGAAAAAAGAGCAGAGCTGCTAATCCCCTAGAAGCAGTGCAGCAAGTAGAGCCTTTCTTACCTCCAGTTCTTGCATGACCTCGTCCATGAAATCGCCTGCGTTCTGTTTGTAAGCAACTGCCAGTTTGATAGCATCATTGAAGAGCTGATAAGAAGGAGAATGCTTGTCACTCAGCGTAAGGAGCACTGGGTTACTGTAACATATGGAAACTGTTCCCACACCCCAGGAAAAAAAAGCACCTCTGCAACTACCTAGACCTACCAGGACCTCACAAGTAGACAAACAGGTGTACTGGCCCTGTGCCTACAGCAGTCTTCATGTCCTTGGACTGTACTGGGGTCTCATGGATGCTGAGCCAAATAGCTGTGTTTTACCTTCACTACATTGGTGCCATCTGCAGCAGACACAAAGTAAAAGGGCAAACTGAACTTGCGGGCAAAGTTGAAGCTTTTCTGGGTCACCTTCATATCCGCTGGGGGGCAAAAAAAAAGGAGAAATGGTCAGTAAGACATCGCTGTAGGCAGGATGCCAACACATGCAGGAGTGGTGGAACAGGTGGAGACCAGAGTCCAATTTAGCTGTCAATGCCTCCTCATTGTAGTACAAGGCTAGGAGAGTCCTCCCCAAAAGCTATAGGGTTTTAAAAGCAACGGCATCAGCAAACCGTGGAAATGGTTTATCCATGTTGTTGGTTTATCCATGGTGCTTGACTAAATTGTGGTGGGATTCTGACATGCTATAAATGAATAATGCTTTGCAGCTTAGAACATACCCATTCGCTTGCTTTGTGGCAACTATGAATATTTTCCAGGCATGTCCCTATGATTTTTGCTGTGTGTCCACATGACCTGGATGCCATTGCCAGTACTAGACATGCCTCTCCCTCCTGTTTGGCCTTTTTTTAACCTGACCTCCCCACTGCCCTTATGCCATGTTACCTACCTTCCTGTGAGTCAAGGGCAGGCTTGCAGCATACAAATGACTCAACTGTGACATGTTTTTTACTTAACAGGCAGTTATGTCCAGCTACCCCGACCTCAGCAGGCCAGAGGCTTTATTTTAGTTTTGGAACAATCTACTGTGTATTGGCAGGATGTGCTGACATAGCAGCAACAGCTCAAAGTTTGATAGACAGCCTGTGTGCCAGCAGGAGGATGACTCCAGATGATCCGTCTTTTCTCACAGAAGCAACAGCTGAAGTAGTTCAGACTCCAAACGCTTGCCAGCGAGCACTGCCCAGGCAGCTGCTCCCTAGCTCTCCGCAGGGAGCTGGATCAACTATTCTGCAGACTGAGCCTTTGTTAAGAGCTGTGGGCTGATTATTTCCTGGTCCGGGTGGCATACACCAAACGAAGGCAAGGTAGAGGACTCCCTGGGAGCAGCGTCCACTCACACATAGAACACCAAGAGCAGTATTCACCTACACAGAGGTTCTGTCTACAATATGGCTGTCAACACCAAGGACATTTGTCTCGGACTTCCCGTACAGTCCGTGCAATCGGTGGATTCAAGGCTGGTTCGACACATCCGATAGGAAAGGCTTTTATTAGGTAGGATCAATCACACCCTAAACCATACCACTGAATGAAAGGAACTTCCGTAACTGCAGTGGGAGCCCAGACACCTCATTCAGAGGGACACAGCTGTTCATAGCTGCAATGATTTCTACCATGGATGTCAGCAGGGAAGCCCATGTCTGACACTGTACTTGACAGAGAATAGCAGGAGACTGTGGTCCTAAGGGCATGTGGCTCTTGTTGATGTCAGCATTATGTTCTCTCACAGGGTGCAGGAGACAGACCACAACCCAAATGACAGCAATAATGAATGCCTAGCTGGCATTCCTAAGAGGAGGGAATGATTCAGTCATCTGCAGAGGAAGGTGAACAATTTTGGCAGCAGGTATATTGAGTCCCATGGAAACCTGCAGGCTGAATTAGCTATACAAAGGCAGTTACGGACTATACCAGGGGGAAGCCATGTAATAGGTTATGCTCCTTTTCCAGCAAGACATCCTGCAAATCTTGGCTGGGTACTGCTCCAATCAGCTGGGTGAAATGGACAGCGTGGTAAGGACAGAATGGGAAGGATATCCTTTGAATAAACTTTAAATGGATCAAATTTGTATTTTCAATTGCTAGCAAAACAAGGACAAGAGCTGATAAGACAGCATGCAAGGTCAGTAAAGGACCCAGCTATTCGTTTGATAAAATACAGCCCCAAGGGACTAATAATCAAGAACTCATCTCGACCTAAGAGATCAATGACATTCTTTCTCGGCCAGGTCAGAAGAGAATCACATCACAATCCTGAGAGGTTGAAACAAGAAGATATATACTCACCGTCAATTTTGTTGGCCACCACAATGCAAGGAATCTCTGGGCGGAATTCTCTCAGCTCCTTGTACCAGCTGTTTAAGTTCCTGTAGGTGACTTTCCGCTGCACATCAAACACCTTCCGAAAAAGAACCAGCTATCATGGGGCCAACAGCAGGACAGCTCCTGATCAACCCACTGCACCAAACACAAGTATAGAAGCCAGAATTTTCCCAGCAGGACATCAACAAAGGAGACTGGCCTTTGTTAGAAAGGATGAAAGAGAAAAGGGAGAATATCCAGCAAGCCTTGAAACATGCAGCCAGCCTGTTTCTTTGCATGATGCAGGAAACAGTCCCTCATTTTCCTTTACATTCTTATTTGGTACTATGCCAAGTACTCTATCACCCGTGACAGCGAACAAGCACTGGGAAAGATCTGTTCTGCTGAGCAGGGTCTGATGTGAGGCTTCTCTATTTTAACAATTCAGATATCAATGAAGTTGATTGATGTTCCCAAGTGATGAGAAATAGTGGAAAATCAGAACAATGGTACAAACCAAGAGACCTAAGCAGGTTAGGAGTCAGGAAACAAGTCTGATTTGGGCTAATAAATAGGAAACCCAAAGTATAGGAAAATACAGAGGGCAGGAGACCAGAGAAGAACATCTTACGTAGTACCCCTGCAGAACATGTCAGAGCAGTTTTGTACTACATAATCCAATAGTCACATCACAGAGCAAGAAAGGAATGCCCTCTCCCTCGCATCATCTCTGACAGGACTGCTTCTAAATAAGCACATTCTGTTGTACGTACCACCTTACTGGAAACACAGTGACAAAAGTAAGGAAATTTAGAAGACAGCAAAGCCAGGAAATGTAGTAAGAGTGCTACCAGGAAAGACAAAGGAGAGCTAAACATACCCAGCTACACTGGTTTTATCTGGTGAGAGAAGAGAGAACAATATAGGAAAGTTTCTTAAACCACTGGAAGAGACAAGAAATATAAGGCTGTGTAATCATAAAGAGTAACATACAGGCCAAGTGTCAACTGGGATTGTTATTAGTCAAAATTCCACCAGATCACAGCTGAGACACTACCCTTACCATGATACAAGCATGAGCCTTATGGTAATAGGATGCATGCATGCTCTGGAACCTCTCCTGTCCAGCTGTGTCCCAGAAGTCTGTAAGACACAAAAAGCAGGCTTAGAATGACACAGCTTTCCAAGTTCTGTTTTACTCACAACTTAAACCCAGGACACAAAGCCCAGTCCACCTACTCAGGGTCACAAATTAGGTTTCACCTCACTAATCCAAAACATTCCAGGGCTAAGAGATTATGCAGAACTAGGACCTTTTCTTAGATAGGCTTAGCTGAGTTATGCCTACACTGAACACTGCTACAAACACATCAGCAAAAGAGAAGCCATCGGCAGGCATGACTTATAAAAGACAAGAAAGATAAGCTAGTCAAAAGTGCAAAGAGTGATAACAGTGTATAGTACTTTGTGACCAGAGATGACAACCGGAAACAAACCCCAAACTTCTTGAAACAGCTCGATTTCTGACATAGCAATAACGAGCCATGTGCCTGCCATGGGAATGTTCCATCCCCTTTTGCAGACAGTCTAACTCTGCTCTTTCCAAGGGCACCACTCATTCCAGGACTGTGCAGGGTAAGTAAGCCAGCCTGAGACAGACAGGTCCCAACCCATTAAGCACCTTGTAGACTGGGTATCACGAAGCATACCTGAACAGTCATCAACATTTTAATGCCTTTTTCTGCTTGCATGCCTCAGGCAGAGATCTCCCTCCCTCCTCTTACTGGATGTACAGGCTAATATTTGTGTCTTATTTGTTGTATGAATTTACACAGCTTCAACTAGGAACCACCAGATGCAGTTAAACTTCCGCAAGCTAGACTGAAGCATGTGACCCCACCTAAGCTGAATAAGCCCCTTTCCTTAGGGTTTACTTTACACTGAAATTAGTTTCTGACTGGATATTGTATCAGACTTGCAGGATGGTGACTTCTTAAACTGCCCAAAATATAGACAAGTACTCATCAGACCACATTTGCATTCATTTTGGGTAGTTTTGCTTAGCTTCTAAAATTGTCTGATCCTTTTAACATGCCATTTCAGAATCCTCAGTTACAAGGAAAAAAAGAGATGCAGATGCAGATGTTCAACTGCAGCCTGTGGAGGACCCCACACCACAGAAGGTGGATGCGCCCTGAAGGAAGCTGCAGCCCATGGAGAGCACATACAGGAGCTGACTCCTGGCAAGAACTGTGGCCTGTGGAGAGCAGCCCATGCAGGAGCAGGTTTTCTGGCATGTGGCCCATGAGAGACCCATGCTGGAGCAGTCTGTTCCATGGAAAGGACCCATGCTGGACCAGTTCTTGAAGAACTGCAGCCCATGGGAAGGACCGAAGTTGGAGAAGTTTGTGAAGGGCTGTATCCCATGGGAGGGACCCCATGCTGGAGCAGGGGAAGAGTGTGAGGAGGAAGGAGGAGCAAAGGCAAAGTGTTATGAACTGAGCGCAACCCCAACTCCCTACTCTCCTGCATCGCTTGTGGGGACGAGGAGGTAGAAGATTTAGGAGTGAAGTTAAACCTGGAATAAAGGAGGGATGATGGAGGGAAGGTGTTTCTAGTTTTGTTTTACTTCACACTGTCCTACTCTGTTACAATTAATTGTCAATAAACTAAATTAATTTCCCCAAGCCAAGTCTGTTTTGCCCTAATGATGCTAACTGGTAAGTAACCCCCCTGTCCTTACCTCAATCTACGAGCTTTTTCATCGTATTTCCTCCTGCTGTCTCCTTGAGAAGGGGGAGTTAGAGAGTGGCTTAGAGGGCACCTGGTGGTCAGCCAAGGTCAACGCACCACAAACCTCCACCATTTTTCAATGTTTTTACTGAATCACAGGAATAAGAATTAGACACGGTCTTGCTGTAGTGGTTTCAAAAAGGAGTCTTAGTGTAATGTTTCAAATTTGGGTTAGCTATAAAATCTCTGAAATTGATATTCTGGTTTTAGATGCAAAGATCACCTTAGCTGTTTGGAATACAGCCTTCTTTTGAAGCTCATATTCAGCTAAGCACTGTTCATCATCTTTCTTGCCTCCCAGGATGGTTTCTAATTCTCCTTATGAACTTATATGGAACCATATCATAAACCATCCCTGTTTACTTGCATTACTTTATTATTGAAACCATTATTACCAACCAGGTTAGGAACAACGCAACCAGCAAAACAGGTGGGTGATGTTTCACTATATTACGGATAGGAGTTGTTTTTCAGTGTTTCCTCACTCAAAGTGATGATGTACACCGATAAGACTCTGATGAAGAACCATCTCTATCTTTGTAAAACATATTTCAAACATGAACCAACTGAACGGAATTCAGAAGAACCATAAAGAATGACAAGAGATCTAGAAAACCATGCCCTGTGAGAAAGCGGAATAAAGCGAGGTTGCTTACCCTAAAAGAGAGAATAAATAGAATTACAGACTGGTTTGAGTTGGAAGGGACCTTAAAGACCATCTAGTACAACCCCCCTGCCATGGGCAGAGACACCTTCCACTAGACCAGGTTGCTCCCAGCCCCATCCAGCCTGGCCTTGAGCACTGCCAGGGAGGGGGCAGCCACAGCTGCTCTGGACAACCAGTTCCAGTGGTTCTTGAGTGTCACCACCCTCAGCATAAAACATTTATTCCTTATGTCCAGTCTAAACTTACCTTCTTTCACTCACTTTCTGTTGCCTTGTCCTGTCACTACAGGCCCTGGTAAAAAGTCCCTCCCCATCTGTCCTGCAGGCCCCCTGCAGGTACTAAAAGGCCGACATAAGGTCTCCCCGGAGCCTTCTCTTCTTCAGGCTGAACAAGCCCAACTCTCTCAGCCTCTCTCCTTAGCAGAGGTGTTCCAGCCCTCTGATAATTTTTGTGAACCTGCTCTAAGAGGTCCTTGTCTTTCTTGTACGGGGCATCCCAGAGCTAGACAGAGCACTTCAGGTGGGGTCTCGAGCGGAGTAGAGGGGCAGAATCCTCTTGCTCGACCTGCTGGCCATGCTGCTTTTGATGCAGCCCAGGTTGTGACTGGCTTCCTGGGCTGTGAGCGCACACTGCCAGCTCGTGTACAGCTTTTTATTCACAATAAAGGTGAATAAAGGTACAGTGTTGAAACATGTAGAAAGCTGGTGCAAACAGTGTCCAGGAAACACAGGAAAAAAATGGTTTACCTTGAATAAAGAAGATTTGCATTAAGTATCAGGAAAGAAAGATTTTCTAGCAGTAAGAACCCTGATATGTTGGAATGGACAGCCTAAGCAGTCTCTGTCATTGGAAGTATTTAAATACATAAAATACATATAGATCAGTGAAGAGTATCACTAAGTAAAGAGTTTCTCCCATGCAGAGATGTGCAAGATGACCTCTCACAGTCCCTTCCAGAGGTGCGATTCTCTGAAAACATGGAAATTGTGGCGATACAGGCAGCAGTAGAGAATTATCCACTCAAGCGTCAGAGTAAGATAATGCTTTTCTTGAACTTCCATCTGTAACACACAGTGAACAATGCTGTGCTGTCAAGAGGCTAATTCACAGAGGTTACAGCAATGATCCATTTGCATAAAAAAATAGAAAGTTAGCACTTGTGGTAAAACTGAAGTTAAGGGATATTTGAGAGTATGACATAAACAGATGACTGGTAAAGCTAGGATACTTGTAGCCTGCCAAAAAAAAATAACAAAGGCTGAGATATCTTTCAGGATAAGATCACACAGGCTGGATATACCCAGAGAAAGAATATAAATATTCTATAAATTTGAAATATAGCAATTGGTACATACACCCAACAGAACTGACCAATCAAAAATACTCAATAAAAGGATGACCAGTAATAGGAAGATTGTGTTAAAATGTATTTAAAAACCGGCAACTGAATAGGAGATCTACTAAAGTAAGCTATGGCATAGACTTTTAGAATTGGTGCCGACAGGCAGCTAAATCCCACTGTAGACTATTTTATAACTAGCATATGGCATGTTTCTTCTCATTTATTTACTATACTGACACAGGAAAGGGGCCTGAAGACAGTCTCATGCTGCAGCTGAACTGATACAACACCTAGCTCGCAAGAAAGCGCAAGCCCACTCTCTACTCTCCCTTCCTTTGCGTGTGCATTTCCACCTGCCCCTTTCACCATCACTGGCGTGCGCAGGCCTCCCTGGTGACATGTTTTAGGAAACCAAATGAGTAGAAACCCATTCACTTATTTTGTGAGCGGCTCACGCACATGGTTAGCGTCCTAAACTGGCTTGACATTGGATGGGAACAGGCCTACAAGTGAATGCTGGTGGTACACAGGGGAAAAGGACTGCAACTTTCATGGGCAGCCAGTTTAACTTCATGATGAAATTTAAATTTTAGCTTAGTTCCATCATGACACTGCATCCTGAGCAACAAGCACTTTGACTAACAGTGACTAACGCAGCTAAACCAGGATTCTCACAGCAATTACTTTGACAGGTATTTAATTCCTTGAAAAAAACAAAGATAATCTTTGACTTAGATATCCCCTTGCCTGGAAGTCAAATGTAAAAGATTACTGGCACAGCTGAAGAACATAGCAACTGAGCAGTGATCTGGCCTGGCAGACGAGGGGAAAGCAGCGGCTACTGTCTGCTAGACTTCAGCACGGCTTTCAGCACTGTCTCCCGTCAGAGCCTCACTGAGAAGCTGTCGATGCATGGGTTGGATGAGCAGACAGTGAGGTGGATTGAAGACTAGAGCGCGGTGATCAGCGGCATGACATCTAGTTGGACACCAGTTCCTTAGCAGTGTGTCCCAGGGGTCAACACTGGGTCCAATCCTGTTCAACATCTTTATTAATGACCTGGATGATGGGGCAGACTGCACCCTCAGCAAGCCTGCAGACAACACAAAACTGTGAGCAATTGCTGGTATGCCAGAGGGTTGTGCTGCCATCCAGAGGGACCTCGACAGACCGGAGAAACGGGCTGATAGAAACTTCATGAAGTTCAACAAGGAGAAGTGCGAAGTCCTCCACCTGGGGAGGAACAGCAGCACCAGTTTATGCTGGGGACCACCCAGCTGGAAAGTAGCTTTGCAGAAAAGGCCCTGGGGGTCCTGGCTGACACCAAGCTGACCAG